CCCCCCCCCCCCCCCCCCGCCCTCCCCCCCGCCGCCTGCCAAAAATTCTCTCTCGCTCCCTTCTTCGTCGCCTTCTTCGCCACGCTACCCACACTCATCACAACTGTGTTCACATGTCATCAAGACGCCAACTCGGGCTCGGGTACCCCGGCTGCTGAAACTCCTGCTGATTCGCCGGCCCCCGAGTCGTCGTCTGCTGTTCTGGATGCTTTTGCCGCTCCGGCTGCCGCTCCGGCTGCCGCTCCGACTGCCTCTCCAGCAAGCGCGGACGCCCCGGTCTTCGGCTCGGACGCTGGCACGCCGACTGCGGCGGCAACCACGCCTGATCTCTCGTCCATGTTTGGCGGTGGTGCGTCGGCGGATGCTGCGCCGGCTAGCTCGCCGTTCATGGCCGCGGCTTCGTCGAGCAACGGCATCGGTGACGACGAGCCGGCTCCGCTGAAGGAGTGGAAGGCGGAGCGTGCGCAGCTCATTTCCAGCCTCGAGGCAGAGGCCAAGGCGACCAAGACCGCAAACGCGGCTCGCGCCAAGGAGGAGCTCGCAGAGTTTGTTGCCGAGCGCACAAAGGTCATCGGCGGGACCGCCAAGGCCAACCGCGACGCCGAGGAGGCCGGCCGCGAGAACCGCGAGAACACCGTCCAGCCCGGTGAGGAGTGGGTCCGCGTCAACGACCTCGTCGACTTTTCGCGCAAGGCCTCGTCCGATGTCTCGCGCATGCGCTCGCTCTACATCTCGCTCAAGTCCAACCCGCCGCCGGCTGCTGCTCTGGCATGAGCCGTGCCAATCTTTCCCTCCTCTCCTTCCCGCCGTCTGCTCTAAACCCCGAAACTGATGGGTCATCACGCTATCACTGCGCAGCGCTGCCATTTATCATGCCTCTACCCTGCGCAGTGTGGGGGTGGCGGTGGCGGTGCAGAGCAGCTCCGCCTACTCGACGATCTCGGCAACAGCCTCGATCTCGACCTTGGCGCCGAGCGGCAGGGCCTTGACGGCAAAGCACGAGCGAGCCGGCGGGTTCTCCGGGAAGAACTGGGCGTAGACCTCGTTGACGGCCGGGAAGTCGTCCATGGTCTCGAGGAGGACAAGGGTCTTGACGACCGAGCCGTGGTTGGCACCCGCAGCCTTGAGCACAGCGCCGAGGTTCTCCAGCGCCAGCTGCGTCTGGGCCTGGACCCCATCAGCCAGCTCGCCCTCGGCCGACACACCAAGCGAGCCGGAGGTGTACACCATCTTTCCGCTCGTCACCGCATGCGAGTACGGCCCGATAGCAGCAGGCGCACCCTCGGCCACAATCGTCGTCTTGCTCCGCACGCCGGTGGACGCCACACGGCAGACTCCAGCAACAGCTCCTGCAGCACGGAACATAGTCAAGGTCAAGTACAAGCGTAGTGCAAGTCAAGTATGTCTTCCACTTTGACTGTCTCTGCCGCTGCCGCTGCCCGTGACCAGCACCGCCAGCTCTTGCTCAGTCGGTCACATGGCGTGCAGCGGCCGGTCGGCGGACGGTTTTTAAAGCGCGTCAGCGCAGAGCGGAGGAGGGCGGACGGGGTTAGAGCGCCCGTGCCATGAACGCGTGCTCAATGAGCGGCGCCGGCGTGCCGTCCGGATAGGCGACAATCACGACGTCGGGGCCTACGCTCCGCCCGGCGACCCAGAGATCCGATCGGAGCGACGGGGTGCCGGCGGTCGGGATCTGCAGCAAGATGCGGACCTCGCTCGGGGCGTGGACCTTGTACGCAGGCTGGTGCTCGAGGCCGGCCGGTGGCGGCGCGGCATCGCGGGCTGCGACAATCTTGGTCTGAACTTGTGCAAAGGCGGCCGAGAGCGCAGCGTCAACGGTCGCAAGGTGGGTGTCGAGCACTGCGCCGAGGGCGGCGGCGTCGTCGCTGCCGGTCCGAGCAGCCGGCGGCGTGGCAATCACTGAGCCGCGGACTTGCCCGTACGTCACTGCCCGCACAAAGTACGTCCCGTTACCGCTTGCTGCGTATGTTGCTGCCGGCGACGGACCCTTTTTGCGAAATCGGTCATACTTGCCGGCCTTTCGCTCCACCCGCAGCGAGTCGAGCACGCTCGCACTCCCCGCGGGTCCGAGGTTCCCGGCCAGCTCGCCCACAAGCCGGTCTGCTACCGAAAGCTGACCGGCGTTGCCTGGAAACGAGCCCGGAGCCACGAGCGCGTCGAGTGCATCCGCCATCTCGGCAACGACGGCGGCAGCTTCGGCGTCCGGCAGCGGGCCCGACGCGGTCCGCCCGACCAGCGCCACCGCCAGCCGCCCAGAGCGGACAACGATCAGTGTGCCGTGCGGCTCGACGAGATCTTGCTGCAGCGCGCCATGCTCGCCAAGTGAGGCCAAGCCGAGAATGCCGACGAGCGTGTCCACCACCTGCGCCAGCCGCGGCTCGAGGTGGGTGACCACCACACGCCCGTCGCAGAACAGCGATCCAGCAAGCACCGCCGCAACCTCGCGCGGTGCTGCCTCGAGCGCAGTCAGCGTCTGCGAGACAATCGCTGTCACGTCTGGCGAGAGCGCAGTCCGTGCATGCCACCCGGCGCCCGCAGCAAGAACCGCCGCTGGCACTGCCTCGCCTCCGCCAAACGCCGCCTTCACCGCCCCGCCAAAGAACGCGTCGAGCTGCTCGGTCTCGGCGCTGCGCACCGCTGCCGCCAGCGAGCCAAAGGTACTCTCGACGCAGGCAGAGACCTGGTCCAGCCACCCGGTCAGGACTGCTGCTGCCGGCCCGAGCGCCTGCGTATCGCCCACCGCAACAAGCCGAGTCTCGCTCAGCGCCCCAGGCGCGCCAAAGCAGAGCGTGTAGCCCACGTTGTCAAAGCTCATCTCCACACAGCTCGTCTCGTCGTTGAGCAGCGACCGCATCATGTCGACGCACGCCACAAACAGGCCTTGCATCTTCTCCAGCGACTCGCTCATCGCCCCACCGCGCGGATACACATACTGCAAAAGGTGCTCAAACTCTGACAGCGCGTCCGAGCCCTCGCCACCGCCGCCTTGCCGTCCGCCCTCCTCGCCACCGCCCACAACCAGAATCCACGCCCTGGGGCGCGCAGCAGGAGTTGCTGCGTCGGCGACAGGCCGGGCCACAACGTCCGCCGCCGCAGCATCCGAAGCATTGCCGTCATCGCCGCCGCTCGCCACATTAGCATCCACATCGCTCTCTACGTCCGGCACGTGCACCCCACGATGGCAACTTGCAGCATCCTTGACCTGAAGAGCACCACCGGCGGCGCTGTCACGGACAGGCAGTAGCGGTGGAGCAGCGCGACCATCATCATCAGGAGCAGCACCAGCAGCAGCAGCACCAGCACCAGCACCAGCACCAGCACCAGCAGCAGCACCAGCACCAGCACGGCCACTGTCACTCCCCCCATCTCCCACCGCACCAGCCGCACCCGAGTCTTCCACGAGATCACCGAACCCATCCGCAACAACAACATCCGAACCACCAAGCTCATCAGAATGAGGACCAGGTCGGGCAAGACGGTCACCCGTTTGACCAACGGCACCACCACCATTACCACCAGCACCAGCACCAGCACCAGCCCCACCAACACCAACACCAACACCAACACCAACACCACCGTCAGCAGCAGACCCACTCCCTTCCTCAACCCCAGGAGAAGACATGCTCTACTATGCTACCTGAGGTGTAGAGACGTGGGTCCCCACCCTGTGGTCGCTTGTCAGCCCCCCCCCTCTCTCTCTCTCTCTCTGTCAGTGGCACTCGGTCCGTCTGCTCCCTGCCCGCCCCCTGCCCCCCCCCTCCCCCCCCTTCCACCGACCAACGATTATATCTGTTAATGACTTGCTCGATGCCGCTACCACGCCCATCAGTCTCATATCACCCAATTGTTGCTCGGGGGAGAGCACTGCTGCATCCCATCGGGCTGGCGATGACAGACGGGCGGTGGCGGGGGACCAAGACGGGGACGGAGGCCGAGACGGGGGAGACACCACTTGTCGCAAGAGTGGCGAGAGCGAGCGTACGCGTGAGGCGAATCAAGTATACCATGTATAGTGGCGGGCTGGTGGTTCTGGTCTTGGTCGTCGTCCTGGTCGTGGTCTCGACTGCTGCTGGTGCTGCTGGTGCTGCTGGTGGTGACAGTGCTGCTGGTGGTGACGGTGTGGGTGCTGGTGGGCAAGAGGTTTCGTTTGTGGAAGAGCTACGTGTGCGTCCGCTGGGCGATGCTGCGCTTGCCAGTCATCTGACCTTCAGACTCGAGGCAAGCGAGGCTTGCGAGGGGGCTGCTTGCTCTGGACATGTAGGGATGATGCCAAAGAACTTGATCGAGCTCTTGGTGGAACACAACGTGACGTGGATGGACCTGTCTCTGGCGAGGAATACTTGGAATGGCGATCGCTGGGGTGCTCCGTTTCTGCCGGCTCCCATTGGCGGCGCTGTGGCTGTGGCTGTGGCTGGGCCTCATGGATCGCATGCTCCTGACGGGCATGCATGGTCGCAGATCATGGCGGATGTGGCCGGCTTGTTCTGCGCCTCGTTTGAGCTTGTAGGCGCCGATGAGACTGCGGTGGTCGCGGTTGCGGCGCAGGAGCTCCGCCGTGGCTCGCTCGCCTCCGAGTCGGTTTGCACCGAGAACCTGACACCATGGCTCAAGCTCATTCCGGGGCGGTCTGTCGGCCTGGCGAGTCTGATCAAACCGCTGCGGGTGTTCAACGTCAAGTACTTTGCGCAGTTTGTGCGGTTCCGGGCGCCGGGCACGCTTGTCCTGGACCTCACGCTTGTGCACACGCCGGAGGGGCTCGGAACCGGGCGGGTCATGCCGTTGGCGAACTTTGCGCTCCCAGATCTGCTTGTGGGCCGCGAGGCGGGTCCAGGCGGTATGCGCGGCTCGCCGCTGGCGGACCGCTCGATGGTTGTGCTCGAGCTGGACGCGCAGGTGGCCGACGCGACGACGCTCGAGCCTGCGCCGAGCCAAAGGCGTGCGACTGGCGACGGGATGCGTGTTGATGCGGTCTACGAGCTGGAGAGCGCTCAGAATGTGCGTGTGGTTGCGACAGTCTCACCGCCGCTGGCGCCTGCGCTGACGCCGCTGCCGTCTGCAGCAGGCGGGGTGAGCCTCGACCGGCACGTGAGCGGGTCGGGCGGCGGCCCGGGCGGCATGCACACGTGTGTGGTGAACAGCGGCCGCGGCACGGTCCGCGGCAAGTTTGAGGACGTGTTTCCGGCGTACATTGTGGCGTACTTTCACACGCTGACGTGGACCGGCGACGGGACGCTGCGCGTGCTGCGTCGGCAGCACGGGCGGCTCGGCTCTGCACCGCACCATTTCGAGCTTGCGATCGAAGTTGCCGGCGACGGCGAGCTCTGCTGGTCGTACGAGTTTGACAAGGAGTTCCTGCACCTCAACAAGTATCCGCCGGACGCGCACCGCGGCTTTGATCTCGCGTCTGGAGTGCTGCGTGCTGTTCGCGACGGCAGTGACGAGACCGGCGAGCTTGTTGTCTACACGCCGTCAGTCCTGCTCCATGTTGTCACGCCGGACTTTTCGATGCCGTACAACGTGATCACGCTGACGTGCACGGTGATGGCGCTCTTCTTTGGCTCGATGTTCAACTCGTTGCTCCGCAAGCCGACGCCTGCTGCCGACGACCAGGGCGACGACGATGGAGCAGAATGAACGGTTTTACTTGCGGGAGCGCTTGCCCTTGCCCTTGCCCTTGCCCTTGCCCTTGCCCTTGCTCTTGCTCTTGTCCTTGCCCTTGCCCTTGCTCTTGCCCTTTCCCTTGCCCTTGCCCTTGTCCTTGTACTTGTCCTTGTCCTTGCCCTTGCCCTTCCCCTTACCCTTGTCCTTGTCCTTACCCTTCTTCGATCCCTTGCCCTTGTCCTTGCCCTTCTTTGATCCCTTACCCTTGCCCTTGCCCTTGCCCTTCTTCGATTCCTTGCCCTTGCCCTTGCCCTTGCCCTTGCCCTTGCCCTTGCCCTTGCCCTTGCCCTTACCCTTGCCCTTCCCCTTATCCTTGCCCTTACCCTTGCCCTTACCGTTGCCCTTGCTCTTGCCACCACCGCCAGAGCTTGAACTCCCACTCGAGCTCGCGCTATCGCTGTCGTCTCCACTCCCGCTTCCGCTTCTGCTTCCGCTTCCGCGTGAGCCGCGCCGTGCCTTGAGCGACCGGATGGCCCGCGGCGGCTTGCCCGTGGCCGGTGGCAGGGCGTCGTGGTAGTCAGCAAACATCTCAAAGACAGCAAAGAGCTCGTCACGCTGGCGGACGATGGGCTCAAGATGATGCAGGGCGAGGAGCGGCTCGCCTGACGGCGAGTACATCGGCTTGGCCTGGTTCTCGGCAAGCGCCATGACTGCCGCCGTCGTCCGCTCCGCGAACCGCCACAGCCGGCGGTTGTTCTTGGCGGTGATAGCAAAGGTCCGCGGGTGCTTGTCGGTCCGCATGCCGGGCGCGGCAAAGCAGACCCGCCGGACGCACGCTGTGACCTCGGCGATGAGCTTGGCCACCTGGTGAGCAGAGAGGCCGACCTGCCGAGCGTCCAGCACCGCGGTGCCCTCGGCCAGCGAAGGCTCCGACCCGCTCGACCCGCTCGCCGAGCCGCTGCTGGACTCTGAGCTCGACGAGCTGCCAAACGGCAGCCACGACCGCTTTGCTGTCGATGCCGCTGGCTCGGCCTTGAACAGCGCGAAGAGCTCGGTGAGAGTCTGATCAAGATCAGAGAGCGGATGCGAGAGTAGGACGGCGTAGACCGCAAAGTCGCGGTAGTTCATCCGCTTGCCGCGGGCGAGAAAGTCAAACTGGTTCATCAGATCCGACACGTAGTCACGATGGCTGATCCCGGCGCTCTTGGCCGCATTCTTGAACATGCTACGGCTGACGCCGACCGACCGCGTCGCACCGGTCACTTCCAGCCCCAGCTCGCCGCTTCCGTGCACAACCGCCGCAAACAGGGCGTCCCGCATCCACCCCAGGCTCTTTTGGTGAATGTGCGCCTTGCTTGCCATGCTGCGCAGCTCCCGTACGTCCGCCTCAACAGAAACTGATCCACCCATGCTGTTACTGTTGGTCACCGGCAGTTGGGTATGACTGCCTCTCCCGCAAACCGTTGGAAAGGGGTGGCCGGACAAGGCCAGCGCCGGCGACGGGCGACGACGGCAAACACTCTATTCCTCACACACAGTGGCCACAAACGCAAAGCTTTAAGATCAGCTCCCATAGAGGGTGTCGATTACTGGCCGGTGGCGCGCTTGATGATGCGGTTAAGCTTGGGCGCGAGCGGGCCACGCTTGTTGAGAAGCTTGAGGTAGGCACCGTCGTGGACCACGTCACCGTCGTCGCGGCGGGCAAGGTAGTCAGCCTTGTCGAGCTGGGTGAAACCCCAACGGCGCGAGACCTTGATCAGCTGCTGGCCCGGGAACTTGTACTTGGACCGGCGCATGGCCTGGAGGGCGTGGTAGAGGTTCTTCTCGTACGTGCGCATGGACAGAATGTGCTGGCCAATGTTGACACGGGCGACGAGACCCTGCGGCTTGCCGAAGGCGTGGCGCATACCGGTCTGGAGACGATCGGCACCAGCGCACGAAAGCATCTTGTTGATGCGCAGGATGTGGTACGGGTGGCACCGGACGCGGAGGTGGAACGCATCCTTACCGCAGTTCACGACCATGTACTTGTTGGCAGCAATGCGGCCGGCCTCAAGGGCCTCCGACGACAGCTGCTCGTACTCGTTCGAGACAAGGTGGACGCAGAGCGGGAACTGGTCGATCGACGCGGCCTTGTTGCCCATGTCATAAATCCGGATCTTGGCATCGGGGACACCACGGCAGTACCGCGACTTGATGTACGGCTTGTTCTTGCAGTAGCGGTAGCAGCGAGCGGGACCTACAACAAAACCAGTCCACCACACAACACATACACACAACACGTGTCCGTATCCCAGCAAGGTGAGTCCTGGTCCCGTCATCCCCTTGCCCTTCTTTGACCCCCCCCTTTCCTGCTGAGGATCACCATCAAACAAAAACTGGTGGCGTCATCTCGGCGACCTTCCCGCACGCGCGGAACACCACCTTCCACACTCCGCCTCCAATGTCACTACCACCACCACATCACATGCCCATGGTCATGCTCAATGTCCACAGCGGTGAAATGCCCTCGCCATGTGCCTCTCCCTGTCGCTTCCCCCCTCTTTTTGCCATCTCCTTGCCGGGCGAGTCTCGCCAACAAGCTCCCACAAAATGAACGTACGACGACCCATGTTGAAATGAAGACGAGTTGTACCAAACTCACTCTCTTTGTCCCCAACACTTTCGCCACTTGTCATGCCAGCCAACGAACGAACGAACGAACGAACGAACCAACGAACGAACGAGCGAACGATCGAAATGAGCAAACGGGAACGAACGAGATCGAACGTGATCAAAACAAGATCGAACGAAACATCACAATGAACAATCGAACTCACCCGCCGCCCAGCCACACTACCGCCCCCTCCCCTGCCTTGCCTCTTCCTCCTCCCCATCCCGCCACCTTGCCACCGCCTGCGACTCATCAACAATCACACCAAACGGATGCTCTTCCACATCCCCATCGATTCACCATACTTTGGTTGATGATCGGCTACTCATAAGTAACTCAAGATTATTGGCCAGCAGCAACGCCCCTCCCTCCCACTCGGTCACCTCTCTCGCGAACCAACGCGTCATGTTTCGGTCTCTCGCTCGCTCTCCGCTTGTGACGGCGCTTGCCCAGGCCTCGTCTGCCGCACGTACGCCACATTCTACGTCTCCCCTTCCACGACTTCCCACACTCTGCCGCATTGCCGTGCTCTGGCTTGAGGCAGACCGTCGCATCATCGCTTCGCCCGGCTCTGTTGCGCAGCGAGCCATCCCATCTCGCATCTGGCGGCAAGGAGCGGGAGGAGCCGGGAGGAGGGAGCACGACAGCGTGTAGGGCGAGGAGACGGAGGCGATGACTCACCGAGCAGGAGAAACGATGGATGCACAGTGGCGGCGCAGACCCGGATGGGTGGTCTGGTGAAGCTCCCGGCTGCTGGGGCTGCCTTCACCCGCGGCTACGCCGAGTTTGTCCGTGACAAGCCGCACGTCAACATCGGGACGATCGGGCATGTGGACCACGGCAAGACGTCGCTGACGGCGGCGATCACCAAGGTGCTGGCGGAGAAGGGCGGCGCGCAGTACGTTGACTACTCGAACATCGACCGTGCTCCCGAGGAGCGCAAGCGCGGTATCACCATCTCGACCGCCCACGTCGAGTACGAGACCGACAACCGCCACTACTCGCACGTTGACTGCCCGGGTCACCAGGACTTTGTCAAGAACATGATCACCGGCGCGTCGACCATGGACGGTGCTATCCTCGTTGTCTCGGGCACCGACGGCCAGATGCCGCAGACCCGCGAGCACGTCCTCCTCGCCCGCCAGGTCGGCATCCAGGACCTTGTGGTGTACGTCAACAAGGTTGACCAGGTCGACGACCCCGAGATGCTCGAGCTTGTCGAGATGGAGCTCCGTGAGCTCCTCACCTCGTTCGGCTACGACGGCGACGAGGTGCCTTTTGTCTTTGGCTCGGCCCTCATGGCGCTCGAGGACAAGGACCCGGAGAACGGCCGCGACTCGGTGCTCAAGCTGCTCGACATTGTCGACGCCAGCATCAGTGAGCCGAAGCGCGACGTCGACAAGCCGTTCCTCATGCCCATCGAGGACGTGCACTCGATCGCTGGGCGTGGAACCGTCGTCACCGGCCGCGTCGAACAGGGCGTGCTGGCCAAGGGCGAGGACGTGGAAATCCTGGGCCTTGGCTCCAAGTCGAAGACCGTTTGCACCGGCATTGAGATGTTCCACAAGCAGCTCGACGAGGCTCGTGCCGGCGACAACCTTGGCGCCCTCCTCCGTGGTGTCAAGCGCGACGAGATCCGCCGCGGTCAGGTCCTCTGCGCCCCGGGCGCATTCAAGGCCTACAAGGAGTTTGAGGCCGAGGTCTACGTCCTCGAGAAGTCTGAGGGCGGCCGCCACACCCCCTTTGTCTCCAAGTACGCCCCGCAGTTCTTCATGCGCACCGCTTCGGTCACCGGCACCATTGACGTCGTCGACGCCGAGATGGTCATGCCTGGCGACTCGGCCAAGCTCAAGGTCGAACTCATCACCGACGTCCCCATGCAGGAGGGTGACCGCTTCACCATGCGCGAGTCCAACCGTACTGTCGGCACCGGCGTCATCTCCAAGGTCGTCGCCTAGATAGCTTACATAGTGTTGAATGAAAAGTGCGTCACCAATCCCCAGCCTGGCCTGGCCGCCCCTCGCCGTCCCGTTGCCCGCTGCCCGGCCGGAGTCTCCTCGGCTTGCCACCACTCGACGCTCCTGCCATGTCCACCGCCGGTGTGGCGCCCTTCCTCCGGGACAGACCGTTTACCAACACCTTTGCCTCCAAGCAGCTTGAGAAATACGGATGGGAGAGGTACGCATGCCCCCCCCCCCCCTCGACACACACACACACACCTTTCCCCCTTCCCCTCCCCCCCGCCGCCCTGCCACCCGAGGATGCGATGGGATGGATGGGAGCCGTACCACCCCATCACCCCCCCCCAGACTCACATCATCTCATCATCTTCATCTTCATCACCATTATGACCACAGCGGAGATGGGCTGGGTCGGAACAAGCAAGGCCGTAAGGATGCGATCAAGACGCGGAAGCGGGCGAATGGTGTGGGACTCGGGGCTGAGCGCAAGCCGGTCTCCTTTGGTGATCGGTGGTGGGAGATCCTGGCCAACAAGACGGCGGCTCGTATCACCTCGGGCGCAAACTCGGCCGATTCGGACTCGGACTCGGACTCGGATTCGGACTCGGAGGATAGTGATCCGCGCTCGGGTCTCGCGGCGTTTGCTGCTCGCGACTCGGCCGCTCAGCGCATCCGGAGTCAAGAGCTTTACCTCGGCAAGTTTGTCCGCTCGCCCGTCCTGCTCTCCATGGAGATGATGATGGCCAAGGAGAAGGCTGCCAAAGAGGAGGCTGCTGCTGCCGCCGCCGCCGCTGCTGCTGCAGACAAGGCTGCCAAAGAGAAGGCCACAGACGATGACTCGGACTCGGACTCGGACTCGGACTCGAGCGCTGCCGATGCGAGCCTGCCTAAGGTCATGGATCTCAACTCGATCCTCACCGCCTGTGAGGGCCGCGTTCTGTCCAAGGGCGCCCGTGTAGGCGCCGGCGTCGGCAAGCTGGCTCGTCTGGCCGAGCAGGATCGCCTGCGCAAGACTGGCGCTTCCCTCGACGTCACTGTAGGCGCCAAGCGCAAGCGTAACTCGCACGCCGCACGCGGCGCCGCCGCCGCGCTTGCCGCTGCCGAGCGCGCGCTCGCAGAGGCTGGCGATGCCAAGCGATCCAAGAACCTCAAGGGCAAGTCCAAGTCCAAGTCCAAGTCCAAGTCCAAGAAGAAGTCCAAGTCCAAGTCCAAGAAGAAGTCCAAGAAGAAGTCCAAGAAGAAGTCCAAGAAGAAGAAGGACAAGTCAAAGTCCAAGAACAAGGCCAAGTCAAAGTCAAAGTCCAAGAACAAGGCCAACGACGATGATTAGCTCCTCGTCGCCGATTCATCGACCCCGAAGCACAGACTTTGCTGTGGCTGCTCCTGCAAGCTGTGTACCCCGTCACCCGACAGGCTTCTGAATAATGAATCGCTACTCGTCAGACATCCGACACATACTCGGACGATTCGATGCCATAGCGGTCGCCCGAGCCTGATCGTGACGCCAAGGTCGAGCCCGAGTCCGGATCTGAGCTCGAGTCCGAGTCGGAGTCCGAGCCCGACCTCATGCCGCCGCGCTCCTTACTCGATGCAGACGTAGCAAGGAGCGCCGGATGACGCCCACTCCGCTTGCCAGCCACCGACTCGCGGATACGCGCCTCGGGTGATCTGCAGATGAACCACAGCCGGAACAGGCAGCAGGGAACAAAGACACAGACAACGAGGCCGAGGACAAGCGCCACTACGACCCAGGTCGGATCCAACACGCCCGCCAGTGATGCAGCCAAGATACAAACAACAAACAGTGCGTAAGCCACCGCCGGGCACATAACCCATGGCTTGAGCTTATACAATTGCTCTCGCGATCGACGTCGCCTCCCTATCATCGCCCAAACACCGCCACGCGCACCGCTGGTGAGTCGCTCCCCCCCCTCCCCCGCTTCGCCACTCGGCATGCTCAACCACACCCATACGCCGCCACTTTGCCACGTACGACCCTCCCGTCTCCGCGCAGCATCCTTCTTGTGTATCTCGTTCATCCGGCGAGCTTCTGCCGCCTTGCGCACTCGCTCCCGCTCACGGCTGCGGCCCATCGTAAAGGCCAGGAAGGAGTGCGAGGCGGTGAGAGTGGCGTGTCGCCGTCGCCGCTCCAGTCACCGCCGTCATACAGCAGCCGATGGCAGGCACCGGCCAGCACGACACAGCGATCAAACTATCGAGGTGCGGCAGATTCATACGGATATGTATGACACAGCCAGAGCTGTGACTAAGGTGTCGAGCAGTAGCACACCGCTGTCTTACGGCAGACACTTGCGCTGTCAACTCGCGGCGGCAGGTACAGACTCGCCGCTTGACCTGGGGGACACGGCCATCCACGCTCGATCACCATCCGCACGCACACGCATAAACACATACAAACATACAAACACAAATACATCGACTTTATCGCCATCGTGCTCAAATCGCCCCGGATCACAGCCAATGATCACACCGCTCGCCTCTCGTCGCCTCTCATCGCCAACCACACCTCACTCTCGCTGGCGATGCCGTCCCTCACTTCCCGCAACGTCGCCATGGGCTTCTTGGCATCGGCCATACTCTTTTGGTGGCTTCTCTATGCACCCTCAGTCGTCCACGCTCCTGCTCCGTGTCCACATGCGCCGTACCACTCGCCTCTGTCGCCTCTGCCTGTCCCTCTTCCACCACCGCCATCGCCACCATCGCCGTCGACCCCGATCACCCCGACAACTACTGATGATGATGAGCTGGAAGCGCTTGCTCGCCAGATTGCAAACATCTCGCAGAGTTTGGACAAGCGCTTGCTGGAGGTATGGCATCGATCGCCGGCCCGGGATTGTCTTGCCAGATCGTGGGGGAGACGACCAGGCTTTGTCCTAGCAAGCGACCCGCCGAGGCTTGTACCGCTTGCAGACTCGGTTGCTGTCCGGGGAAAGTGTGCGAGTGCGGATGCGGTGGCTCCCATGTTGCTGCGAAGGGCACTGGAGAAGGCAGATGTGTTTCACGGCGCCGATCATGTGTACGACATCGTCGAGGCCGCAACCGCGAGGAGGTGGGCCGGCCATCGCGCAGACGCTGTGTACGATCCGGAGCTCGGAGCGGCAATCGCCAACGCGCACCGAAGCGTAACTGCGTCGAGCTCGGCTCGAACCAAGCACGTTGCTTTTCTCTCGTCGTCGCACGACCGGACGATCATGAGAGAGATGTGCTCCGCGTGCGGCGGCGAGAAGTACTCGTTTGTCTACGACGAGCTGAGCTGGCTGGTCAAGGATGCCCCAGGATTCTCGCTGAGAGAGCTGCTGGGCGTTGAGACAAAGGCCAAGCTCTCGCTCGAGTCACTGCAGGCGCATCGGGCTGATATGGTAAGCTACTCGCACTCGTCGTGCATGTGCGCGTCGCGAAAGCTCGCCTTCCACACCATAGTCCACGCCGGCTCGTACGCCTCGCCGCCGTGGCACGCTTCGACCTCGTGGCAGAACCCGCTGATGCCTATGTCGGCCCACGACGAGCTTCCACTTGCGCTGGCGCTTCTCTTCCTTCACACCGGGGGTCACGGGCCGGACATCGTCTCCTTCTCGTCGATGTACTGGGACATAACGTCGGGCCACTTTGGCTCGCTTGATCCTCAGCTGCCGGCCTTTGTCGACGATCTTGTCGAAGCGACCAACCTTGCAGCGCTGCAGGAACTTGCCACCGACGCGCGCACGCTTGTGGAGAGCGTGCGCGCTCAGGTGGCATCACTGGTGGTGGACGGGCCACTCAACAAGGTACTGGATGCTCTGCTTGGCGCGCTACCTGAGCCCGTCCGCAAGGCAGCCGAGTCGCGATTGGCGCCTGCGGCGAGCCGACTCCTACCTGTATTCACGCTGCGAACAGGTATGTTGGCAGAGGACCACCCGCGGCCGATTTCAGCGGCAGTGGCGAGCGTGCTGGCTGCGGTAGGCGATGCGGTAGGCGCAGCGGTGATTGACGAGTGGGTACTCTTTTCCGGCGCCGTCCGGGTCCACGGCGCACATCCGCACCCGCCTCTGGCGCTGGCACTCTTTACCTGGTATGCCAATGTGTGGGAGGCGGAAGAAGGAATCAGGCTCGTGCTGTAAGCTGCGGTTCACATCCGTGAGCGGAGCAGCAGCGGCTTGAGGTGCTCGCGCCAGCCGGGGCTCGGCTCGTCGTCGTCGAGCGGCGCGTTCATCGGATCGTGCCGGGTAGTGTCGATGAGCCGCTCGTAGACTCGCCCGTTGTAGCACCCGATGGCCGAAGAGAGCGCACAGTCGTGGTAGTCAAAGGCGTCGACAAGCGAGGCGGCGTCGGGCCGCAGGACCCCCAGCAGCTTGCGGACCGCGGCACGGACCCATACGACTTGCTCCGCGGAGACAAAGCCCGAGTCGAGGAACTCCCCGGCGTGGACCTCCATCCAATAGAGCGCAAAGAGCTGGGCGAGGGCGGTGAGGACAGCAACAAGGGCAGAGGGGCGCCCGCGGCCGAGGCGTCGGTCACAACCTGCGCAAAGTTACGGACAATCACCACAAACGAATGCGCACGCGACATGCGGAAGGCTTCGACCTGGGCCTCGATCCATGCCTCGACGTACGGCTTGCCGCCCGCGATGGCGGCCTGCAGCGACTGCGCGGTCGCCACGGTCAGCGCTAGCGAGCGGTGCTCATAGGCGGTGACCAGCGCAGCAAGATCGGCAACGGCGTCGCCGTCAGTCGGGCTCCAGCGCTCGCCGCCGGTAACGGCCGCAAACCGCTCGAGGTACGCCGACGAGCCAGTCAGTGCCCCGCCGCCGACCGCAGTCTGCAGCGCCTTGAGGAGAGCGCGGGCAGTCTGCTGGGTGAGCAGAAAGTTCTCGCCCTCGGCGGTCTCGACGCCGACGTAGCCGGAGAAGAGATCGGGCAGGCCCGAGGCTACGAGAAAGCCGACGCCGCCAACCGACTTGCGCAGCGCCTCGCACCCATCGCCGGCCAGCGAAGTGGTCAACGACTTGAGGCCTGCTGCTGTGGCATGGACCTCGGCGAGGAGCTCAAAGTTGCCGTCGGCCATCTGCGCCACAAGCGTATCGTGGAGCGACTCCATCCACAGTCCGGTGAACTTGAGCGCGTACGCCGTGGCGACAAGCGGGAGAACACGATACTGCTGCATGGTGTAGTCAAGGATGGGAGTCTCGGCCTCGGGCGCGCAGTTGGGCTGCGCGTAGTTGAACTGCCGCCGCTGCAGCGCGTAGCGGACGGCAATGGTGGCGGCGCGGGCGAGAAACCCGCCGGCGCCCTTGATGAGCGAGGCACGGACAGAGATCATGCCGGCGTATGCCACCTTGGCATGTGCGGGCTTGGTGTAGCTTCCGTCTGCGTCAAGCGAGGCAAACTTGGCGAGCATGTTGAACCGCGGAATAAAGACGTCGTGGAGGCAGAGGTACCCGTTGTCCACGGCGTTCATGCCGAGCTTGGACCCGATGTCGCCGAGCTCGATGCCCGGCAGCGTCATGTGGCTCTCCATGTCGCGCAGCTGGACCAGGAAAGGATGCACTCCGTGGTCGGTCTCGCCCACAATTAGCCGCGCCATGACAATGGCGTGGGTCGCCGTCTTGGCCATGTTGCCCGGCCACCACTTGCGGGCCTCGCTCCTCGGTGTGGTGAGGATAAACCCGTCAGCGTCAGGGTCAAACACCGCGCGGGTCTCGATGCCACGCACATTGGAGCCATGGGCGAGCTCGGTCTGGGCGTAGCAACCCAGAATGCGATACGCCCGGGCATCGTCCAGCCAAGCCGCCGCCTGATCCTCAGTCGCCTGCGCCGCCAGAAATGGCACAAAGGCAAGGTCATGCAGATCGGTAGGCAGAGCGTCGGGCACGCCCTCGTTCCGAAGCAAGGCTCTCTGCTTGTCATCCAAGCCATGGATCTCTGCCAGCTGTACCACTCTCCGAACACTGCCCAGCGCAGCCTTGTACCGATCCACCCGGGACATCATCATCCGCTCCGCATCATACTTGCGCAGCTCTGCATCGAGTGCCAGCTGCTGTATAGCCTTGCGCTCGACGCTTGCCTCAGCTCCGCCATTGAACAAGTCGGTGAGAGCCGCCACAGGGAAGCTTCCCTTCCTCCGCTCTGCTTCCAAAATCCCGCACGTGCTCCCTGCGCCTGCTGCTGTTGCTGCTGCTGCTGCCATGCCGGTGTCGTCTCAGAGTGGAGTCTGTGACAGGTGGCAGACTGCCTGCGGGGATGGCGATGATGCGGGGAGGGTGGAACGGGTGGGTGGGTGGGGACAGAGATCTGGGGAGCCCTAACATGACATGTATGAGGAGAGAAGAAAGGGAGGTATCGATAAGGTTGGTTGTGGGTTATGGATGGCAATCGCAGCAGCCACAGCCCGCGCAGCAGGCGCAGCAGGCGCAGCAGGCGCAGCGGGAGGGGGGGGGAGAGAGAATAGTTGATGGGCTCTCCTTCATTACTCCCACCACTACTTCTCAACTCATACCTACTAGCACATAGCTTATGTAGTCATGTATATCCGGGTGTAATTTGATCTCCATAGCCTTTCCCCATCTCCCCATCAAGCCCAAAACATACCCCATCATCTCCCCCACCCTCGAGGGGAAAGGGGGACCTCGTTCCATGTCGCGCTGCAGTCAACGACTCGCCACGCAACCCCCCAGACACACACACACACACACACACACACACATACATACACATACACATACATACACACTACTCTGTATAGTATGGCATCCATGGCCAATCCGGGCGTATTCAAGCTCACCTGTGGGTACGTCCATGCCCTTTCCCCCAATCCCGCTGCACTCTCTGCTGTACTCCCCAAGCTGAGGCGATGCCCTCACTCACCGTCACCTCGCCTGTCGCGCGGTCGGCACACCGCACACACACACTGCACACTCACCGCCGATGCTCATGGACAGGTCTCGGCAGTATGCCTGGGGAAAGATTGGAATGGCGTCCAAGGTGGCCGAGCTGGTTGCTGCTCAGGGCGGGGAGATCGACGATGCCGAGCCGTATGCAGAGCTGTGGATGGGCACCCATGTGGCTTGCCCTTCGCAGCTGACTACCGGCGGCTCGCTGGAAGAGCTCATCGCAGCTGCGCCTGATGTCCATCTCGGGCCCGAGGTGGCGGCAGAGTTTGATGGCAAGCTCCCATTCCTGTTCAAGGTTCTCTCGGTCAACAAGGCGCTCTCTATTCAGGCCCATCCGGACAAGGCGCTCGCGGCAAAGCTCCATGCACGGGCTCCGGACATATACCGCGACCCAAACCACAAGCCCGAGATGGCCATTGCGCTGACTGATGTCGAGGTTCTCTGTGGCTTCCGAGTTCATGCTGAGATCCGCCAATTCATGACCTCGGTCGCTGCGCTCCGCGCTCTAGTTGGCGACGACGCGCTGGTGAGCCGTTACGCCGACGGCGACGACGACGCGCTCAAGCCGCTGTTCTCGGCGGCGATGAAGGCCGAGCCGGTGCGGGTGGCGGACACAGTGGCAAGCCTCATGGGCAGTCTTGATGAACTCGAAGCTAGCGGCGCGCTCGACCCGTCGCTGCGCGCGCTCCTTGACCGGGTGGCTGGCCAGTACCCGGGCGACATCGGCCTCTTCTGCGTTTTGTTCCTTAACTACATCCAGCTCGCCCCAGGCCAGGCGGTCTTCCTCGGACCGAACCAGCCGCACGCGTACCTCTCGGGTGACATTGTCGAGTGCATGGCAGCGTCGGACAATGTGGTCCGTGCTGGCTGCACGCCCAAGCTCCGCGACGTCGACACCCTCACTGAGATGCTGACATACGCGGTGGGAACGCCGACCGACCAGCTCAACCCGCCGCTGGATGCTGCACCGGGCGTCGCCATGTACGCCACTCCTGTGCCCGAGTTTGACGTTGCGCGCTTTGAGCTCACCGCCGCCGCGCCGACCGGCGCCATCCCGCCCGTCGACGGCCCGTCCATTATGCTCGTTGTCGACGGAGAGGCCAAGGACTCGACCTGCACCGCCTTTACCCCTGGCGCGGTCTTCTTCATTTCCGCCGGCGCGAGCCTCACACTCACGCTGGACGACGGCTCGCCAGGCCTTGTCGCCTACCGCGCGTACTGCACGCTCGACAAGTAGCTGTGCCGCGCTGCAGCAACTACTGAATGAGCGACGAGAGGAGGCCCGGAACTCCTGCGGCCGGGGAAACAGTCCGCGCCGCGCTCTGCGCGTGCACCCCGCTCATGTGGGCGTGAATGGCCGCCGGGGTTGTTGGCGCCGCCAACGGCGACGCAAACAGTGCGTGCGCTCGCTCCGAGTGCGCCGGTGACGTCGACGGCAGCCGCGCGTCCCACGTCGACACCGGCGGTGGGAGAGGGGCCGGTGGAAGCGTGCCACCAAGGCCTGCGTTGGTGGCCTGTAGCGCGTGCGATGCGTCGACTGCGTAGCCGAGTGTAGCCTGCGCATCAGCAAAGTTTTGCGCCGCTTGCGCGAGTGTCGCCTCGAGCGTCGCCCGCGTCGCCTCGTCTGCCCGATTGCGGGCGAGAAGCTCATTGGTGGTTCCAGCCACCGTGGCAAGCACGGTGTCCATGCCACGGAAGAGAGTCGGGAGCGAGTCAAGCAGCACATCCGGCTCGTCGCTGACGGCCACCGTGGCTTCCAGCAGCGCCTCCAACGCGCCCTGTAGCCGCGTTGAGTACGCCGATGTCCGCTGCGCAAGCGCCAGCTCGGCCGCAACGTGATCGAGGACCGGCGGCCGCGGCGCGCTGGTAGCGTGTACTTCCGCCGCCGCTGGGAGCGGCGATGGCGACCGCCGGTCGCGGAGCACCCGCGCCTGCTCGGCCGCAGCATCCATGTACCGGGTGTGGACGTGGGTGGCCGTCGCGTGACTTGCCCGCAGCGCCGCCTGAAGCTCTTCGCGCTCCTCGGCCACAACCCGGGCCTGCAGGTGGATGGTGTGCTCGAGCGCCGCGAGCTGGGCCTCCTTGGGCGCCAGCTCGGCCTCGAGCGCCGCGATTTGATTCCGCAACGCAGCGTTTCCCTCCTTGTGCGAGGCGACGAGCCTCTGCGACTCGGAGAGCTGTGCCGAGCGGGTCGTGATTCGGGTCAGCTGCTCCTCCAGCGCACGCTTCATCCGATGCAGCTCGAGCGTTTCGTTCGAGAGCATGTCCAGCTCGTCGGCAACAGCGTCGCTCGACGACGTCGCCCGCCCGCCGGCTTCGCGCAGCTGTGCCTCCAGCACCGACACAGCATCACGAAGCGCCGCGTTGTCTGCTGCCGCAGCAGCCACCGTAGCCGCCAGCGAGTTGTTGGTCGCGGCCTCGCGCGCCACAGCCCCGCGCTGCGCCTCCAGCTCGGTCTGCTTGATACGGAGCTGGGCGGTCTCTGCTGCCAACGCCTCAGCCTCGGCGGCGAGCGCGTCGCGCTCGGCTGCAAGCGCCGCAGCTTGCTTGTCCAGCTCGGACATGGTGGCACCTTCTCCAGCCAAGTCTGCGGCGTCGCGCTCGGTCTTGACCTCCGCCACTTTGGCGCGCAGTTGCACGAGCTCGGCTTCAAGCGCGTCCGCCGCCGCAGTCGCCTCGGCCGCCGCCACCGAGTCGGCGGCAAGTGCGACGTCATCGGCTTCGAGCGCCGCAAGCTCGGCGGCGAGCGCGGCACGCTCCTCACGGAGCTGCGCAGCGCGGGCATTGGCCGCAGCCTCGGCGGCCGATCCGCTAGCCGCAGCCTGGTCACGAGCGGCCATCGCCGCAGCGATCTTCTCCCGAAGCGCGTCAATTTCGTCTTCAGCAGCATCAATGGCGTCGGTGAGAGCGTCGGTCGCAGTGGCGTTGTTGAGCTCCTCGAGCTGAGTCTCAAGCGTCGCGAGCTCAGACTCGAGCGTAGACTTTTGCGCCGAAAGTTGCTCGAGCTCCGACTCGGCGGCGGCAATGTCTGCCGCCTGCGACTCGCGGAGCATGGCGAGCCGCTCAGCAGCAGCACTGGTCTTGGACTCGAGCGCTGCGACATCGGCCTGCAGCTCATCGGTGCCGCGGCCGTCGTTGTCGTCGTGCCCTCCATTGGCGTCGGCAATGACGTGGGCGTGGTCGATCGCCGCGAGCGTCGTCGCCACCGCACCAGCCAGATCACTCTGCGACGCCGAGAGCGGAATGCCGAGGGTGTGGAGGTACCATACCGGAGCGTCGGCATGGTCGACGTCGTCCGACTTGTGGTACACCAGGTGGCACATGGTCATGCAGGTGGTGTCTGGCGCATGGGCGTGGCCACGAAGGGTCATGCGAGCCAGCTCTTCCGGGTCATCGGCTGCCTCATCGTCGTTGATGGCGCCAGCAAGCAGACGAACGTATGCCTCATCGATGTCGGCAAAGGCATGTCCGGAGAACGAGGTGAGGACAAAGACAACCGAGTGTGTCGAGCCATCGAGGGCGAGAGCATGGAGATCGACGGAAATGGACTCATCATCACCATCGCCATCGCCAGACACGTTGTCTCCAGACGCCACAACAGCACCATTCCCAGCATCAGAGCTCAGCTTGGCAAAGTATACACGCTCAACAACCGTGTGGTCAGGTGCAAGGAGGTAAGCAGCGAGGTCGAGGTCGACCCGGCTTCCGTCGGCAGACTCCCACCCGGTGGCCACAGTCACCGTCTGCAAGCCCCTTGCCAGGCCCATGGAAAAGTCCTTCCCCACTTCATGCTCCATGGTAGTGTCACGCCCAGTGCGAGGGCGCGAAAAGTGTGTCTCATAGCCTTAGCCTGCGCCTGGCCGAGCTAGCCGCAGCAGTTGCGGCTGATCGACCGCTGCCTGATTGAGCGCCGCTGCCGCCCTCCTCGCCACTGCCATCTTGATCGCCGCTGCCAGTTTGATCGCTTAGTCCATTGTCACCGGCTGATCGACAGTTGATCGAAGCAAAGGTGCAGCCTAGTATATTGCTCCCTCGCATGGTCGGCCTGTTAGTCGATGGGTGGCGAGAGGCGGTTGTGCCAGTGGCTGTGGGTGGTCGGCCCGCCGGCTGATCGACCGCGACAAAATCGATCGCTGCCGACAGTTGCAGCGCTTTCCGCACCGCAACGACGCCTTATCCTGTTGCGAGAGTCTGACAATGTTAGATCGCGACGTTCGACACACTCATAAACTGGTGGATTGGATTGGCTTTGCTGTCGTCATCCACGGTCCTCTGGCTGTCACCGAACAGCCCCTCACAAACTCGAGAATTGATGATCGCGTTGCGGTGACATAGATAACACAACCCAATCTTCTGACGGGCCACAACAGAGCAAGTGGGCCGGCATGGCTGTACTCGAGCGTCGACTGTGCCGATCGGGACGCTGAGCGGTGCACACGGCTGATCTGTTTTGGGTTCAAGCCTCCAACAACCTGCGATGGGCCACGTCGAACGATGTCGCCTTTACTCGCAGTTGCCGATGTGTATCCGCTGCATCTCCCAGCAAGCCCAGCACGCTCCCGACACCACAGACCGCGATCCCAACAAGAACGAAACCTCTCCCGCTCCCTCCCTCCCCCCCCCCCCCCCTCTGCATCTTCTCCTTCCCATTCCCTTCGATTCCAATCGGCGCATTACTCTCAATCGGCAGACTGACACCAATCGCTGTCATGTCGCCTCGGCCAAGAGGCGAGGTCACGGGACACAGGCGACGAGGTCACGGGCAGTCGGCGAGGCAAGGGCAGGCAAGGGGTAGGTAGCGGGAAGCACCTGACTCCAGACCAAAGGGTGGTAACAAGTTGTAGGGTATAGGCAGGTTTATGCCTGGGAACAACGATTCGGAGCTATGTACCTCTGCTCGGGAGCATCTTGAGGTGGCGCAAGTGGGCAACCTTGCGGTGGCGGCGGTCTCGTTGGTGGCGGCGGTCTTTGTTTGTGGCGCGTATGTGGCGTTTGGAAGAGTACAAGGCTCACGGGTCGATCGGCTGGTCTTTTGTCTTTGTGCGATGGGTGCGCTGGGTGCTCTCGCTTTGCTGGCAAAGGGAACGTTGGAGGTGGTCGATGATCTGCACAGATCGGCTTGCATTGTCCTCGGCGCCGTCATCGAGGCCTCGTACCTCTCGCAGATGCTCTTCACCTTTCTCCTCTCGCTCAATCTCTTTGTCCAAGTTCGGTTGTCGCTTGCTCCGGGCTTGTCGCCGGCACAGGTCTTTGCTACAGCAGCGTCGTCGGTCTCGAGCCGGTCGGGCGCGCCGCGGCCGCGATCGCCGGTCCTCGTTGAGCTCTGCTACCTGTTCTACGGCCTGGTTCTTCCATTTGGCTACGTCGGGTGCCTGCTCTGGCGTGCGCCGTACCGCACCTCGCCGCTGGGATGGTGCGCACCGACGTCGCGGCTGTATATCGGCATTCCGCTGCTGGTCCACTTTGTGGCCACGGCTCTACTCCTCGCCGCCGTCCTGGTCTCGCTCCGGACCGGCATCAAATCTGCGGGCATGTTTGCCGAAAAGGGCCGACGGGTCGAGCTCAAGGCACTGCGCCGCTTCTCGATGTTTCTAGTGCCTGTGCTTGTCACTATGATGCCTGTTGTTGTACTCTCGGTTTTCCGCACCTCGCACCACTGCCTTCCGTTTGCGCTCGTCTTCTTCCTCAACATTGCCTTTCCAGCCCAGGCCTTTCTCAATGCAATTGTCTTTGGCATCAACAAGGACCTGCGCCGCGCGCTCTCCCACAGCTGCTGCCCGCCGCGCGAAGAGACCCGCGTTGCCGAGTACCCCTCGCTCCTCGGCATGGGCGTCTCACCCACGCCGTCACCGATCGTCTTTCCCTCTTCACGTGCTCACCGCTAGCCTGACGCACTCTCGCCAGGCCATGCCAGGCTATGCCACGCTGCCATGCGATGCCCCCCCCTGTCTTGCCGCCATGCACTTGCCGCGGTTGTCATGTCAATGTCCGACCGTTCCGGCCCCGATGCCACCACGCATCGTAGCCCGCTATAGGACGCAGCTGGCGTCAGCCTCTCATCGATGGTCTTAAAACCGTCGCTGTGGCCACTCAATCTGTCTTGATACCTGCCATGGTTGAGCGTGTGGCCCTGCTGCCACACTCATCACTCGCACACCGACGTGAATTGCCTGCCATCGATCACGCACAGATCCCACGCCAAGATGACATCATCACCCTTTCGCTCTCTCGCTCTCGCTCTCGCTCTCTAGCTCTCGCTCTCGCTCTCTAGCTCTCGCTCTCGCTCTCTAGCTCTCGCTCTCGCTCTCTAGCTCTCGCTCTCGCTCTCGCTCTCGCTCTCTCGCTCTCGCTCTCGCTCTCCAACGGCGTCCACCGCAGCTCGCTCGGCAAATTCGCTTGCCGTCACTCCTCTCGCTCACCCCAGCCGTCCTCAACCATGACTCGGTGGCTGTGGTTGGCGGTGACGGCAGCAGTCATGGTTTGCCTATGTGGACAAGCAGCCGAGGGCCAAGCATACACGGTTTACTTTGCACAGAACCCACCGTTTGTCATCCCCACATCACAGACATCCTCTGCCACAGACCAGGTATGCCCCCCCCTCCCCCTTCATCCCTCCGTCATGTCCCCCCCCCCCTCCCCTCCTGTGGCTGTCCATCGCCACTTCCCGCCTTGTCGCCATTTTTGCCACCGCCTCCACTGCCCCCCCCCCCCCCCTTCGCAGCCAACCCCCCACTCACCCCCCACCCCCCCACCCCCTCCCCCGTAGTTATCTGGGTATGACGTGGATCTGTGGGCTGAGGTCTTCCAATACCTAAAGGCGGCAGACGGCAGCAGGAGCTACAGCTCGCAGCTGGTGACGGTCCCGCAGCTGCTCGAGGCTGTCCGGAGTGGAAGCAATGTGGTGGGACTGGGATCGCTGGCGGTGACGAGGTCGAGGGAGTCTACCTATGGAGACTTTTCGTACACGTACTTTCAGTCTGGCTTGGACGTCCTCACCAGGAGAAAGGATGAGGAGACGGATCTGTTCCTCTTCTTTGCGCCCTTCTCCTTCTTCCTCTGGCTCTCCATCATCGTCACCCTCTACTTCTCCGGCCACGTCATCTGGTTCCTTGAGCGCAACTACCAGCCGACTGAGTTCCCGCGGACGTACTGGGCTGGAGTCAACGAGGGCGTGTGGTACTGTTGGGGCATCCTCACCGGGACCGGTACCAAAGATCTTATCGGCTTTCCCTCGCGCATGTACTCGGTCGGCTGGTCCACCCTCTCGGTCATCATGGTGGCGGCGTACACGGCCAACCTGGCAACCATTCTCACAGTCCGCCAGCTGCAGACCGACATCTCGTCGTTCCAGGAGCTGGGCGGTAAGACTGTGGGCGTGGTGTTTGGAACAACCGGCGAGGCCTTTGTCCAGTCTGCGCTGCCTAATGCCAACGCCCGGGTCTTCACCTCGATCGAGGAGGCGTTCACCGAGCTCGACCGAGGCAATCTCGACGCAGTCATCCATGATGCGCCGGTCTTGCTCTACCTCAAGATCCTCCTCGACACTGGCGACAAGCTGCAGCTTCTGGGCAACCAGCTGTCGGACGAGCAGTACGCACTGCTTCTCCCGTCGGGTGACGAGGCGCTGCGGACGGAAATCAACTCGATCCTGCTCCTGCTGCAGGAGAACGGGTTCCTCGACTCGCTCTACCGCAAGTGGTTCAACCAGGTCGAGAAGCCAGACGACGCCTTTATCTCTGAGCATCCGCAGGCGCTCTCGTTCCTTGCCATCTCGGGCATGTACATCACGCTTGCCTGTGCCCTCGTCATCGCCATCATCACCTACTGCTGCTTGCGTGCCCGCAAGTGGATTTAGCCGCTACATAAAGCAACGCACGACACGTCTTCACAGCTCTGCGAATAGCTCGCGGTACGGATCGTGGCCCGAGATGTCCTCGGTCCCGTCGGGCAGCAGCGGGCGCTCGAGCCAGTCGTAGGCGTCAAACTCGTAGTCGGCAAAGTACCGAGTGTCGGTCGGCCCGCAAACGGCCGGAATGAGCGGTGCGGCGGACGCCGGCAGGTTGTCCCAGTCGAGGTGGGAAAAGAGTGGCTGACTGCGGAGCTGGTTGGCGTCGAGCAGCCGGCCCGCGGGCGGGACCGAGAGGAGGACGCGGAGGAGGTCGAGAACGCCTGCGTCGAGCTCGTCAGGTAGCAGAACAGGATCCGGAACAGCGGCGACAGCGGCGAGCACCTCCTCGGGCGCACCGATGTGGTCAAACGGCGTGCTGCCGGTGACCAGCTCGCAGAGCAGGATGCCGAGCGACCACCAGTCGGAAGCAAACGAGACAGCACCGCGGGCGGCAACCTCGGGCGCCATGTACGCCGGCGTCCCGCGCGGCGCCGGCGGCATGTCGTCAATGTCGCAGGCAAAGAGCGCAAAGCCAAAGTCGCAGACCCGGATGTGGCCGCTGTAGTCGAGAAGCACGTTCTCGGGCTTGATGTCACAGTACACAATGCCCGTGGCGTGCAGGTCGAGGAGGAACATGGCGACCTCGGCGGTGTAAAAGGCGGCTGTAGCAGGCGGAAACTGCCCATGCGCCTCGAGATGGGTCAGCAGCTCGCCGCCGGGCACGTAGAGGGTGAGGATGTAGACATTGAGCAAGTTCTGGAACGAGCCAACAAACATGACCGCAAGCTCCGAGTCGAGCGCCGAGAGAATCTCGATCTCGCGGCGAAGGTTGGCCACCTGCCCGCTTGCCACCACATGCTCCTTCCGCACTACCTTGACCGTAATCACTTCGTTGCTCTCCTTGTGCCGCACCAGATACACTCGTCCGAACAGCCCGGCGCCGACCGTCTTCAGCGGCTCAAAGTCGGCAAGACTCGCCACCCGCCCAGATTCGCCGGCTCCGCCGCCGCCGCTGCCGCCGCCGCGCGACTCGAGTGACATCTCCGCCCATCCCATCGAGCCACGAAACTTGTGGCTTAGGCTTCCGGACATGGTCATCGAGTTGAGCGACGATGCCAGCATGTCCACCGTCCCCGCCGACGGCCACAAAGGCCCACCGTCGTCTCCGCCTCCACCAGGCAAGCCGCCGCCGCCGACGCCGACTGGCAGCCTCGACATCATCGCGCCCGCCACAGCCACATCACCCCTCGTACTGTTATCGCGTCAAGCACTGCAGCCGAAGCAGTCTCTGCAGACGACGGGCCCGCCGACAACAGCGATGCAGATCCCGAAGCGGCATCTGATTCAGGCAGCGATGCCGAAGCTCGTTCACTTGTTGTCGGTGAGCCGCTCGATGATGCGCCCCCCGCCGCCGACGATTCGACATTGTTCCTGCTGCCCGTCGCGAGTGGTGGAGCCGAGTTGTCATTGACCCGCGCCTCTTCCTCTGCCTGTGTCCTCGTCGTCCTCGCCAGCAACGCAGCCATTGAGAAGGACATGGGCACCTGTTCTTCCTCTCACCCTCTCACGCACACACTAATCTCCCTCTTTGACTCGGTGAACCTTCTCTGCGTAAAGTGGTTCAGGCCCTCTGACCCTCCCCGGCCTCGTCCCCTCCAGCCCCTCCCCCCCCTCACTCTCCCCCCCTCCACCATACCACTCCCTTGTCGCCTTCACACTTTCGTTTTTTTTTTTTGCCGCTCCGCTCATTTCCTTGCACAGACATGCACAACTGCAACATTTGCGTATGCAGACGATTATCAGACGACAATGTGGGGCTTTACCTTGCCATCCACATGGTGTTAAGCTACGGGTCCTGCTTTCGTGTGTGATTGACTTAAATTGACTGTGATTGCCAACTGTGGGGGGTCAGCCTCCAGTGTGGATTTCACATTGACCAGTTTGTGGCGCCACGACACCGTCTCGCATTATTCTGCACCATCTGTGCTGTAGAGTGAGGCTACCTGCCTCCGATGATGGATCGTAATCGTCATGACCATGGGGTGTGGTCCGAGCTTGTGGCCAGAGCCCTCTTCCCCTTCCTTCTCCCGTGTCACGGTGGTGTAGCCAGCCCCAATTGCTGACGGCTTTTTGGCAGCCGCATCTGCTGGCCTCTCGGCCTTCCGGCCGCACTCTTCCACTCGCCCACCATCCTCTGCCCTCTGACAGCCATCCCCACCTCCTTTCCACTTTCCCACCCAATCCTCCCAACCTACCAAGCTATCGGCCTCTCCCTCTGCCTGCTATCAGCCCGCCCGCGAATCAGCCGGCCGCCCACCGCCAATCGGCTGGCTGCCCACCGCCAAGCCTGTCAAGTCACGCGCCCTCCCCTCCCTCCCCTCGCCACGCCACGCCCACCACTCCAACCACGCCCACCCCTCTTCTGCACACTGAGAGTAGACAGAGGCCAACTACCTTGTCGTTCATGTGTGGATCATCGATCTGCGTGGCTGTCAACGGCCTTCTCCAGCTGGTACGCCACCTCCCCCTCCCCCCTCCGTCCGCCCCCCACACTTCCACCTCCGCCTCCCCCTTCCCCCCTCACCTCACACTGGACTCAAACCCTGCAGTTGCTGAGCATCACGATCCTGGCGCTAGAGGTGGCCACATCGCAGTTTGATCGCCCGTTGGTGGTCGGATCAGCAAAGGATACGCAGGAGACCATCTTTCTCGCTCTCGTCTCGGGCTCGCTCGCTCTGTCGGGCATGGTGGCGGTGTGGGCAAGATCGAGAGAGTCCGCAAGAGCTGCGTACATCTTTGCCTATCTACAGATCCTAGTTGCGGGGGCTGCCGCCGTCTACGCCTGCATCTCGCTCATGACCCGTGCAGACGCGAGCCATCCGCCGCTCGACGAGGAGCCGGGCTCGGCCGTCGTCCGCGCCTCGCTCCTTCTCGGCGCCTTTGTCCTCGGCCTTTGGGGCATCGTCTCGGGCTTTTCAACCGGCTCCAAGCTCGAGTCTCAGTTCCACTACTCGTCGTTTTAGCCTCGGACCGCCGTCCGCCGTCCGCCGTCTCGCTTTATGAACGTTATGGCTACAACTGTATGTACGATACTTGCTTGCTCGGCTCTCCGCCAGCCGGCTCTTGGGGGGTCTGTGGTTGTGGTTGTTGTGGTTGGTGTGATGATGGTGATGAGGGTAGGGGGCTGTGGCCGTGACGTGTGGCGGAAGAGGATGCGGGGCGGGGCATGCACGCCCGCACAATGGCAGACGTACGCACACGCGCACTCGTTCCTTGCTCCCGCTCCACGCCTGCTGAGCAACACGCGCCTTACTCGCCACTGCTCTTCTCCGCCACCGAGTAGTTGAGGAGCTTCTCGATGAGGTCGACGTGCGAGAGGAGCATGCGCCTGCAGCAGTAGCGCTTGAGCCCCAGGCTGTCCAGCGCGCTGCGCTCGTCATAGCCCGCGTTCAGGAACGTCAGATACGAGTCCCACTTGTTGCCGATGACCTATCCTCCGCATTCTCTCCGCATGAGTTACGCCCACATCCCTCGACCGTCTTTCCTAGTCTCCCCCGTCCCCTCCCTCCCCTCCCCCCGCCCCTCCCCCCCCTCCTTCCCCGGCCGCGTCTCCCACCCAAGGACTGGACGCACCTCCCCCTCCCTCCCCCCCCTGCCCTCCCCCTCCCATCTCCCCCTCTCCC